CAAGACACTCTGAATTCTGGAGATATCCCAAGCTGGCATTACTTCTCTTAAGTATTGTCGTGCCCCAACAAAGTTTGTCCTGCAATCTGACCAACAGTAATAGGGTGGCATCTGAGCGACGCAAATTGTCAAAATGCTATGTGATATGTGTCAGTACTCTTGTCGGTTACGAGTTCTAAATGGATTGCTCTAGTAGTCATGCAAGTAAATTTGATCACGTGTGCTCGCTTTAGTGTCTTACGTCCGACTTTAACATGGAAAGGTCTGAACATGTCAATTGCTGTGCTGCTGAATGCACAAAATCCTGCTGCAACTCGAAGTTTGGGGAGCTGGCCCATCAGTTGCCCCATAGGCTTTCGTCGTAATTTCTGGCATGTAACACATTTACTGGTCGCTTGCTTGGCCATCTTTCAGAGTCCCATGATCCAGAAGCATTTTTTCGATTCATACACAAGGCTTTTGAATCCACAATGCGCCCGCTTTTCATGGAGAACGTCTGCAATTGACCAACATGAAACCACTGTAGGTATCTTTCTGGATCTTTCTAAAGCTTTTGATACCATCGATCAAATCTTATTCACCAAGTTGGAACATTATGGTATCCGTGTCGCGGCTCTGCAGTGGATAAAAAGCTACTTTTCTTATCGCTATCAATTTGTTCAGGTAAGCCTCTTTGCATGTTTCTGCGGTGTTATGACGGCGCTGCTGTAATGTTTTCTAAAATTAACCGCTCCTCAGTTTTTAATTAAGAGAGGGACACGCAAAACCCTCAGGCTCTAAAACATACCACGTAAACAAAAGATGTAAGATGCAGCTTTGCCAGGTAATTTATGACCTGCATATGAAATAATATTGGTTAACATTTTTTTTCTTTGCTTTGTGTCCACGTCAGTGGTAAATTAAACGAGCTATAGGAAAATTTGGATGGAAAAACTAACTATTGATTTTCTTTCGATAGCTCTGAGATTCTATTGCCTGAAAAACAGAACAGTGAAAAACGAACTGCGAACAGAGACGAATGGTTACGGTTGTCATTAATATCAGCTTAAATAGCGTTCCGGTTGGCCTAAAATGCACTGTCCCGGCAGTGGTTAGCTCTCATAAAGCTGAGGGCTACTAAAAGTGGTTCTGACCAATAATTACAAATTTCTCAGGCTACCTTTTAACCTCATACAATAGGACATAATATCTGGGTTTTTTGAAATTGTGTTTTACGACTGATTATTCCATGAAGCTCTAAAAGTCCCATCGCTGTGGGATAATATTGGCCCGGTTTCTCGTTTAAAATGTCAAATTGCGTGGTTTGTCAAAATGTGACATAGCTTACCGTTCAAAACCAGTCTTCTCACTCACTGTTGAGATGTGCGTTCTTTAAAAACTTGCTTAACTGATGGCACCGTGACGTTACAAGAAAGCTTCTGTTTTAAAGGGGTTAAGTAATTATTGACAGAAAGACACGTCATTACCAAAGGAGCCAATCAAGGACCTTAGCTAACAATTTAATTCTGGACCAAGTAAAAGAGCGCATGTGCTAGATCAACAGCGCATGCCTAAGTTCCAACTCCGCCTGATTCCCACGTGCAATCGGCATGGTTGTAGTTTTACTGCAGTAACCATTTTTGCCATGCTTATATAATATCAGTTTGTCCAACGTGAGCTCTCCATTAAGAACTTATGTGGATGATTTTTTCAGACATCAATGAGAAATCTTTTTATTTCCAGTCCTGGCATTGATATTAGATTGTGTTTTAACCAAACTTTTGGAAGTAAATTGCGTTCTGACTGGCAATTATCAATTTCTCTGTTTCTACTGTAAGAGGTTACGTTTGAAGGAATGCCTTTTGTTTAGAACGCTGTTAGCGATTATTGAGAAAATAATAAAGCATATATAAAACATAACAAGTTGACTCAGTTTGAAAACAATCCGAATTCAATATTGCCTTAACCCGGAGACCATCACCTGACATGAAATGCCGACGTACAATTGTTTCTGATCAACCTTGAAAATTTCATTCTTTCACAACTTTCATAACTAGGTAAATACAGCAAACCAAAAGTTTTACATGAAAAACGCTTGTATCCATTGATTTTTCACACAGCACACAGGTTTGCCCGGTAACGGTTTGACACACCAGGAGCCCGTTTCTCGAAAGCCCGGAAACTTTTCGGGCCCGAAGAGTCAGTTTTAATTAATCTGTATTTAAAAAAAGAGAGGCGTATACGCCTGAAACGTCTTGTATAAAGGAAACCTCTGTTAGCACTAAGGATACGTGAAGAAAACAGCTCTGTAATCTTAAGGCTTAAGACTTTGCTCTGGCTATAGAGTGTGAAAACTTTTCGCGACCTTCGAGAAACTAGCCTTCGCGCCCTTCGGCTCACTTTGTTGGCCGAATTTTCTTTCCGTCCTCGCTGGGAGCCTGTTCACAGGCTATCGAGAAACGGGCCCCACAACCGTTTTAAAGAGAGTGGTTCTAGCAATCAGGGACACCCAACGGATCGTTTTGGTAAATTATCTGCTCGTAAGGCGTTTAATCCTGCTCCGATTTCTGTTCGAACTTAATTTCGTGATATGAGAAATTTTAACAAATGTTGAAGCTTTTTGTTTTCGGTTTAATAAAAATACGTCTTGGGTACCAAAAAAGGTCAGCTTTGATTTTGGGAAAGTCAATAAGACTTCAGGTTTTTAAAAGCGATTGTATGAAGGACAGAATTTCATTAGAATAATGAACTCAGTCTTCACCCGAAAACCTTCTAAGAAAATCAGTTGTTTCTAAGACGTGAAGGATTCCGTTACTGGGAGTAGGCTTTTCTCTTTAATAAAATAAAGTTTAAGTTAAAACAGTTTGATGTGAGCTTAATACTCGATTGTTTTTGTCGCTACAAAAGCTAACTTTTCCTTCCTAGGCAAAAATTTCGCTATAATTGTTATTGGTCGCAATACTATTTGTACGTCAAATGGAAATCATCTAGCTGTGTTGGATGAGGATTAAACATTTTAGTTTAAATTTTATTTTGAACCTCTCTTTAAGACAACCTCTTTTCTTTAAGGTAACTCTAATTAACCTATAAAGACTGTCACCGTATGCGTCTTACAAATAACTCTCTCAAGAAGAAGGTTTTCGCATGCAGACTAAATCCCATTATTCTAATGAAAAGCCCTTATTATCATTTGTTACAACCAAAATGTCAAACAGTCTTAGTTTTTCCAAAATATCTCACCCTTTTCTTTTAACGACACTGAAGAAAAGAATAAAAGTGGAATAGTTTGTAACAATAACTCTTTTTCACTGCTCCTGTACATGTATTTTTCTTGTACGGCGAAGAAATAACAAACCTATTTTACCTCCGTATATTTTGAATCATCTTTTTATTTCTGACGGCTTTATAACCCTTTGCGCAGACCACCTCTATCAACATCTTTCGCGTGTTAAACCGTAACCAGGCAAAACGTAACAGAGAATTGTACGGTGTGAAAAATCGATGTATATAAACGTTTTTCATGAATAACATCTCTTCGTGTAGTTGTGTTTACCTACTTCCCATTTTATTGAAAGAGAAACATTTTACTTTGGCATTTCTTGTTGGGTTAGGGCATTATAGAGTACCAACTGTTTACAAACTTAGTTGACAAGTACGGCTTACCATTCTTCCAATATAATCACTAAACGCTTGGAATGCAAAAGCCATTCTTTCCCGACGTATATTTCAACGGTAGAAACAGAAAAAAAACAAATGAAAAAGCCAAACCGTCATATATATCTTTTATTTTCCTATTTTTTTGTATAATCTTTGTATTTTTTTTGACGACGTTGGAACTTTTTGCGCAGACTGCGTTCATTATCTTTGTGTGTGTGTTTAATATGTTACCAGGTATTGTCTAAAGAATGTAGACGAACGTTTTTCACCAGTGTTGAACTTTCCTAACTGCGGGATATAAAATTATTCAAAAACTGAAATTTTTACAGTAAAACCAGAAACATATCATTTTATGAGCGAACTTCATGTTAGGTTATGGTGATATAATGCCCAAATTGTTTACAAACTTAGTTGATCAGTTATGGCTTATAATTCTTTAAATAATCACTAAACGACTTGAAAAACGGTAGAAACATGCGAAATTGATATAACCAAACAGTCAAATATATCTGTATAATCGTTGTATTTTTTGACGACTTTGGACCTCTTTTTGAAAGCCGCCTCCATTAAAATTTTCCTGCGTCTAACCGTTTCCAGGCAAAGTTAGTGTGTTGTCTAAAGAATATATACAAACTTTTTTCATGCTAATCTTTCCTACTTATTTTTACCTTCACATACATAATATTACTAAAAGACTGAAATTTGTTACGGTAAAATCAGATCTAGACAGATATGATTTTCCTCGCGGAATTTCAAACTTGATTAGTTATGGATTATTACTCTTTTAATAATTACCAAAAGCTTTGAAACCAAACCTCCATTGGTAGAGTCAGAGACATTGATGTAACCAAACTGTCAAATATATTTTACCTTCCTATTTTTCTCTGTAATGTTTGTATTTCTGAGGACTTTGAAACTCTTTGTGGTCCTTTGTGCAGACCGCTTTCATTAAAATTTTCTTGTGTTTAACCGTTGCCAGGTTTTGTCACGTTTTTCATGTTGTACTTTTCTGGTTGTTTTAACCAAGATAAAATTTTTAAGAGATTGAAATTTTGTTGTGATTTATATTATTCTTTCAGTGAACACTAAACGCGCGAAAACAAAAACGCGGCATTGTTTCATACATATTTTTAAACGGCAGATAGATATCTATATATTATAGATAGTAACAAGATTCAGTAAGAAACCGTAACCGAGAAACCACTTTCTGAAAAATTGAGCCATACATAACTCCTTATTAGAACACGAGCTTTCTTTAACTGGTTCAGATAACAGAAGCCTTAAATGTTTGGTGATGTCGTTGATTGGTTCTTTTGGTAATGAGGTGTCATTCTGCCAATAATCACTTAACGCCTTTAAAACAAAAGCTTTTCTTCTGGCGTGACTCATTTGAGCAAGTTTTCAAAGAGCACATCACTGCTGTGAGTGAGAAGACCTGTTGACACACTGTTTTTGAACGGTAAGCTACATCACATATTGATAAACCATGGAATTTAATAATATTTGAAACAAGAAACGAAAACAATGTTATCCTGATGCAATTGCACTTTAAATAACCACATAAAACACAATTTAAAGAAACCAATACGTTAGCTCACTTTCCACAAGGTTAAACTGTGAAATTTTATAACTATCGGTCAGAGCCACTTTATATTTTCACATTCCTGGTTCAAAGGTGTCACCCTTATTGAAAGCCAACCACCGTTTTTAGGTTAACCGAAACGATATTTCAGCCACCATTCATGTGTAACATAACTATTCGTCACAGCTGTTCGCAGTTCGTTTTTCACTGTTCGGTTTTTCCAGACAATAAACTGATCCATATGGCAGAAAATCAACAGTCAGTATTTGTATCGAAATTCGCATGCAGCTCGTTTAATTCATTAAGACTGACACAACACCACAAACATTTTCTCCATTTTACCGCATTTTAAAAGCATTTGCATGGTAGAAATTAAAACTGAAGCTTTCGTAGTTCATACCGTTACCCAGCTACGCCGCCTTTATTAAAATAATTTCTTGTGTCTAACCATTGCCAGGTTTTGTCTAAAGAACGTTTACAGACTTTTTTTTTTATATACTGAACTGACTTTTCTAGTGCATATAAAGAATATTATTAAGAGGCTAAAATTTTTACAGCAGAACCTGAAGCCTATCTTCCATTCATCTTACGTGCGCATTTTATGTTAGGTTATGGCAATATAATGTCCAAATTGTTTACAAACTTAGTTGATTAGTTATGGCTTATTATTAAAGTGGATCATTGGATAATGCAATTCAAGAGTTTTCATTGGCTTAGCTATCATGGTATACGGGCCATCACACCATGCTCTACAAATATGGTAAGCCTACAATCAGTTTTTTTTTTTTTTTTTGCGTTTTTATTTTTGTTTTATTTTAGGTTTCTCTACTTTGGTGTTTTTCTTTTTTAATAAAGCAATTATTCCACACCCGCTTGTTGAAAATGAGATGAATAAAGCTCTAACTTATGTATATGCAACGCACGCTCGTGGAATAATTATTCTACTAATTCTGTGAACAATCACTAAGCGATTTGAAAACATTTAAAGCCATTCTTTAATTAAACGGTAGAAAAAGCGAAATTGATATATCTAAGCGTCAAATATATTCTACCTTCCTATTTTTCTGTATAGCGTTTGTACTTTTAACGATTTTGAAAGTCTTTGAGCAGACCTTTAATTTCTATTAAAAGGTTTTTCATGTGTTTAATTCGTTACCAGGGAAAACTAGTGTGTTTTCTTAAGAGAGTATACAAAATTGTTTCATGCTGAATTTTTCCACTTATTGTTACCTACACATATATAATATTATTAAAAGACTGAAATTCTTATAGTAAAATAATTTTAAAAAAACCCATCATTTCACGGGGGCATTTCATGTTAGGCCATGACAAACAACCCAATGTTCAAGTTGTTTACAAATTTATTTGATTAGCTTTGGCTAATGATTCTTTTACTCAGCGCCTTTTTATCCTTTATGGTACAAGAAGAGAAATTGATATAACTGATAAAACCAGTTACTCTTTTGGCAGACCGCTTACATTAAATTCTTCTCTTGTGTTCAACCGTTACCAGGTTTTGTCGGCTAAAGTATATATCCTAACGTTTAACATGCAAGCTGATTTTTCAAGTTGTTTTTACCTAGATATGAAAAATATTATCAACAGACTGAAATTTTTACAGTAGGATTTCCATTCCTTTTACGTGCCCATTTCATGGTAGGTTATGGTAATATAATGTTCAAATTGTTTACAAACTAAGTTGATTAGACATGGCTAATTATTCTTCGAATAAACCACAAAACGACTTTAAAAAAGCAACTCCTAACGGTAGAAACAGCAAAATTGATATATCTAAACCGCCAAACATATTTAACTTTCCTATTTTTCTGTATAATCGTTGTACTTTTCGAAGATTTTGGAACTCTTTATGTAAGCCGTTTCCATTACATTTTTGTGTGTTTAACGGTTGCCATGTTGGCAGGTCTAGAGAATGTATTCAAACGTTTTTCATGCTGTACTTTTCTGGTTGTTTTAACCAAGATAATATATTTTTGAAAGATTGAAATTTTGTTGTGACTTATAGTATTCTTTCAGTAAACACGAAAAACGCGCGAAAACAAAAACCATTAAAACATAGCTCGCGGTAGTCCTATCTAATTCCTATTGAGCCATCATGAACGAAATCCCTATGTGCGCACAGCTGTGCGTATATAACATGACGTGTGCAGTTTCAATTTAGCTGCAAAATTTCCGTCGAGTTTCGGTAATGTGAAAATTATTCTGAACAATCCAAACTCTACTTCGAGCCTTTGACTTTTGCCAAGCTAAGATGTTTACTTAAACGTGAGTATTTTGACTGTTTGTCTACATTTCCATCGAGTATTTTTGACTTTGTCTGCTTACATTTTCGTTATAATTAATTCGAAGAAGCCAATTTTTCATTGACAATTTTAGAAACCAGGTTAAGCGTTTTCGCTCAACCGTTGCTCAACTGATTGTGGCGTGTTAGGATCCCAATGAACTATGTTTATCTTCCCGTGATTGCATTTGTAGTCAATCACAAATAAAACATGTTTTAGCGCCCAAGTTGTTGTCGCCATGTTATAAAAGAATTGGTTCATACATGCTTTTAGCTGTGCGTATATCAAGTTATGGATGCACTTGGGAAGTTTG